AGCAGGGAACTCTCTCTCTCATGTTTAAAAGTCTTGGTATAACTGGGGCCTGCCGAAGCTTCTGTGGAGGCAGCCATGCAGGGGAAACCCCAGGCGAATCTTCCAAAGGGACCCTTGCATTTGGAGTAAAGCTTTTAAGTATATCTTGTCTACTAGCTCCCTTGACCTCCCAAGTGCCATAGGCAGGTTTCGTTCTTGTCGTTTTTTGTTTCCTTCGGACATAATCACCATCAGCAGACAGTCTGACTGGGATTGCTGCTGTCTTCGCTCTCTCAAGGCTCCTTCCGTCCAAAAGGAGCCTGGACCATGGGACATATTTCTGGCCGCACCATTTGCACCAGGATTATGTGTGTGGAGGCTCGGGGGCACCCAGGAGTGCCAGATGCCACCCTTTCAGTGCAAGGACCATGAAGTCACCTCTTCCCCTCCACGAGAGGAGAAAGGTGCTCCCACTTGGAAAGCTGGGAAGCAGATTGAGACGCACTGCGTGACTGGCCCACGTGCAAACGTTTCCCCTCTGCGTCTGTGTTTCGAGGCCGCAGGGCCGAATGTGCAGTTAGTCGGACAACTTCCCGGCTGTGCTTAACGAGGAAATGCTGCCCCTGGGGCTTCATTAGACTTAAATTACATCATGAGTTATCTTTGAAACAGTAGAGAATGTGTGCAGTCAGTGTTTATATTTTCATACTTTGGACTCTGGCTGTTTTTTTAAATGACAGCGGGTGATGGATGGGTGTTTAACATGCACGTTGGTGCGAGGTATCGCTGGCACCCCTGGGGCAAGGCAGGAAGGCACCCTTGGGCCTCAGAACTCCAGCTCGCAAGCCGAGTGCTGGGGGCAATTTGGAAGCAGAGGAAGCACAGCGTCAGGTACTTGTATGAAGTGTGTGGGTCCCTGAAGCACTGGCTTTGCTCTGGCAGAACACAGTGCCTTTGACAAGCGTATCGAATCGCTTCATTGTCTTTGAGTCACATCAAAACAAATAGGGCACTTCCCGTCCTGCTGAGGGAACAAACCCAAATTTAGTAGTGTCTTGGGTGGGGAGAGAGAAGTTGGAAGGATCATATGCATTCGTATGAACTGTAAGTGCCATCAAATGTTTCAAAGGCTACACCTTACATGCGCTATTTAATTAGAAGCAGGCAAGTAGAACCATATGCTTAGCGTGGTGGAAGACTTTAGACACGAGTATCAAAAACACATGTGTTTTTTCCCTTGATCCAACTTTCTCATGAATCACTCACATTTCCAATCACCCCCGGCACTGTTTTTCCTCATAGCGTTTTCTGAAAGACAGCCTCGAGTAATACGGTAAGTAGAGAAATGTAATGTAATGTAGAGAACGGTAAATAGGCTACAAAGTCCGTTTTTCCTATTGGCTGTCAGGAGCTTGGACTTGAAGCCATAGGGGCCTAGACGGCTTTCCGTTTCATGGAATGGGAGGCAGATTCTCTACGGTTGTTGCAAAGGACCACCGTCATACATTGGTACCCAAGGGCTTCTCTTGTCATAGAAAACTGTAATGTAGCTGGAGATGTTAGAAGAGGAGGGAGAATGGAATGAACTAGTTCAAAGCACTGGTTCAAACCCACTAGCTGCTCCATGATGTGGCAGCCCGCTTCTGTATCGATGCACAGCCCTGCAAAATGATGGGGTCGGTGCACTCTGCCTGTGGGGTTGCTATGAGCGGGACAGAATCAACAGGTTTGGGCTTGGGGGTCTCCATTCCTGGAGCTTCAAAGTTGTTTTCCTGGTTTCCTAGGCTTCCTGTTCCGTTCCTTCTAATGAGCCTCGTTGGTGAGGGAGGGGTTCCCACTGTTGCCTCGTTGGTGAGGGAGAGGTTCCCACTCTTGGGTTCTGGGGCTGGTCACTCAGCACTCAGGGCAGGACAGGTGACACCAGGTGCTGTTTATTAGACACAGACACTCAGCACCCAGGGAGGAAGACCGTGTACCCCACACCGGGCCTCATCAGGTTCGCTCTCAAACAACCGGCAGCTGGCGTGGGGGTGAGGGGCAGACTTTGTGCCAGGGTGCAGAAGAGATGCCAATCTCAAATATCATGTAAGGAGAACATTGATCAAGTGTTCATGGGAACAAAGGCAGGGCGCACATCTGTATGAGGGAGGCCATTAGGGCAGGGTTGTCATGGTACCCGAGGGTTCGTTGAGAGCACTAGTTAAATAAGGCATAGGACAAAGAAAACTGTCACAGATTCATGATTGGTGGCAGATCAATCCATCACAGTTACAGGTGGGACTACAGAATCAGGAACAGGACCCTGATTGGGCCATGTACATTACGTGAGATTGAAGGGCTTACAAGATTGGTCCAGGGCATGTCTCATGATTATGTGACCCCCATACTTCCCCCAATATGGTGACCTCCATCAAAGACACACCCAGGCAAGTCCCTGAGAGAGAGAGGCTGTCCCTCCCTGGGCTGACTAGACAGGGAAGGAGGTAAGATAATCCATCGCCCAAGGTCCTTTCTGTCTGCAGGCAAGATTGTTCTCAACCCTAGTTAATGACCAGAAGGGATTCAGTGGATTCAAGATTGTTCTCACTTGTAGTTAATGACCAGAAGGGAATCTATTATGGGGACTCAGCCGATGGATTTTGGACTTTGTCATCTAGAGCCTTTTCCAAACGGGGTGCTTAGAATTTAAGCTCTAACACAGCTTGGTAGTATTGAGGGGGGGGTGGTGGTGTCCCTTTGGTTCCTGCAGATGGGTGTGGTAGGCTTGTCTGAATAATTCTATGTGCTGGCAGAGAACGGTACCATTTGGCGACGACTCGCAGGAGGGGCACCTGGTCTGTTTGAATTCAGACAGTGGTTTGGCCAGGAGATCTTAGCCATTGGGAGCCGGGGAGGGAGGAGGACTTGTGGTGAGGCCAGCCGAGGCCCTCCCAATTTCACCAGATGCCACATGCACCATCTACTTTTAGACCTTGCCCCACGGTTTCACAGCAGTCACTTCCGGAATTGTGTGCCCCCAAACACACCCCGGTGAGGGTGACAGATGGACCCCGTGGTGGTGTGGCCTGAGCGCTGGCCTCCTTCCCCCTCTGACTGGTTGAGAAATCCCCCACGCAGCCGTATGCCTTCATTGTCCCCCATGCCCATCTTCGCTCCAATAGCAAAATAAAATGCGTCGGCTTCACTTAAGAAATTCAAAATACTGTTAAACAATTGAAATACTTTTTTTGTTTGTTTCTTAGGAAAAAGTGCTGCAAAGGGTATAAATTTGTTTTTGGACAATGCATCCCAGAAGGTATGTAATATTAAAAAATGATTTCTCACCTAATACTCCATGAATCACTAGGCACCTGTAAAGTTCGGATGTACATGGAACACGTGTATTGTTCATGTCCAATTAAGTGTGTGTGTGTGTGTGTGTGTGTGTGTGTAAATGTGGGGGTGGGGGAATTAATGTGGACTAGGACTGATTCACTCCTGTAAAGAGTTAGTCTCCCCATTCCACACACAGACGCGACACAGCCCTCCTGCCCGACCTCTATACCTGCTGCTCCTGTCCTCAACCCTAAATCCTTCTGCAGACCTTTGTTTCCCTCCGGGAAGAGAGAGTGGCGTATGGGAGAGAGAGTGGCGTATGGG